CACTCCCTTTAAGGAGTTTAGAGTATAGCTGACTTGCAGAGCAGTTCAACCCCGAGGGGAACTGAGCTTCCGTCCAGTCGGTGCTGCGCAGATACTGTTCCTCTTCGTTCTACCCTCAGCTGCACTCAAGCTGCTGCCAGATTGCACTTGATTGATTCCCAGCAGCGAGGCGCAACGCATGTGAAACCACTCTATTCTAAACCCTAAACCCCCCTAAACTTTAACTACTAACTGGGTCGATGACAGTCGGCGAGGTGAGGTCGATGTCAGGCCGGATCTTGCCCCAACCTCTAGCTGCGCAAGAAATGGGTTGCTTTTAAGGAACTTAAACTAAATTACCATAGTATGGGGATATAGAAAATTATAGGGTTTCCTTGTTCTAGTAACTTAAGCTCCGTAACAGCAACCAAGAGCAAGGACTCAAAAGAACGAAAACCACTAACCTGACTGCGCCTAGAACATCGCACAGGGAATCCATATGCTAACTTCAAGTCAGCATAAACATCTCAAATCCCACAAGTAGGATGTTTCTCACAGTAACTCTCATATAACCAATAATCAGGACCCCATAACCCCTTGCAGGCCACTGGAATTGTAGTCCATATATATTACCCCCAGGCCAATTTCTGGAAAACACCGACAGAGCTGAACCTCAAGAGTTTTTCTTGGAGCTTCCACGCGATCCTCAATTATTGGGGCAACATCTTATACAAGCTCAAGTCACCCTGGCCCTTAAATCAAGAATCTGGAAACACAAATGGACATTACTTCAGTGACGGTACTGTACCACTTGTTGTGGGTCCCCTGTAATCACGGATCTCTGAAATCCCACGATGCGCGTGACAGCCGGGAATGTTGCATGCGCGATAAGCCATGTAAGCGCTACTGATGTGCACGTCCTTAACAAATTCTTGTGATTGATGCAATTCTGGGAGGCTGTCTCTACATAGAAAGTGTCAGGCCCTACCCTTACAGACACATGATTACCCACAACAATGGGCTTCGCCCACGCTTAAAGCAGCGCTGTGCGCTGTAGCACATTGCAAGGCTAAGCCCCCGGGCCGTCGCAGTTTGGACAACGGCCGGTGCCCTTCTTCAGCTCCGCCATCATATTCTGCTTGAAGCCATAACAGCCGTCACAGCCTCTTTTTAACATGGGTTTTTCATTACTCCATATCTCTCTCACTTTTCCTCGCCAAGATGCACTGAGCCATTGCGCCTTCAGGCCAACGGAAACGTTCACGGCTCAGGCCGTCACCCTGCAGTCTCCGGCCATAGGCCCCCTTCGTGTTGTGGCGGTTCACGTCGGCCTGGGCTTTGCTAAACCTTTCTTGTAAGGATTCCGTCGTTCCGTCCCAACTCTGCTTGCGCAACCCCTACATAGCTGCAGCGCGGCTTTACCCAGACCCCCTAAAGGATCCAAAACATGGAACCCCCTAATAATCCCCTAGTTTCCCCAAGGCAGTCATGGGTTCATATTGGGGAGGTTCTACTTTTTGGATCCTTTAGGGGTCTGGGTAACAACGTTTCAAGCGAAGTAAGCTCCCGGCCGCCAGATACAACACGGGGTTTGCGCCAATGCCAAGGCATCCAACGCATTTCCCAGAGCCTTTGGCTTTACATGGAGATCTTGTTTGGATGATTAGACCATTGACGGAGAATTCACGCTACCGAATTACTTACTGATTGTTAGTAAGGAATACGGGAATAAAATCCCTATACTATATGATTCCTATATCACATACTCCCTCCTTCCCTACTAACCCCTAAACCCTAAATTGTAGTTTCCATTTTCTTTTCCATTATCCCCAGATAACCCTATAT